TGTGTGTGTGTGTGTGTGTGTGTGTGTGTGTGTGTGTGTGTGTGTGTTTTAAACATTAAACCTGAAATACTGTATGTTTTTTTATTTACACATTTTAAAGGTTTGCGTGTATTTTCTTAAACATTATATTGCTTCCGTCTTGGCTAGATTAATTTACCTGGTTAAATAAAGGTATAAATACAATTACAATAATAAGAAAATAGTATAGCATGTTGGAAAAAGTCAAAAGTATAATATGTAACAAAAATTTAAAAAAAAAACTGGAAAATGTCCTAAATCTGGAACAAGAGTATTTCCAGAGGCAATATCCGGGTACCAATAAAATAACTCACACATATTCAAACATTTACTCTTTTTTTCCTTCCTGGAGAGCAGAGAGTGACCGTTTGCTCACTAGCAGAATATGGAACATTTTGAACTAGTGTTTCTCTAAATAAGCCGCTTTTGTTTTCCAAATGCAGTGGACGGGACAAGTCTCTCCAGGAGCAAAACTGCAGCATATTTGTTTTTCTTCAGGATTAATGGGAACATGCACACAGCTGTGGTCCACAACAGACTTACAGTAATGACGTCTCATCCTCTGTGGACTAAGATGATGATCTAAACAGCCATATCGTTGCATCTATACTGTGACGCTGAAGCTAGACCACACACACCTCCAACTGTGTTTCATTTCCCCTCGAGTCTCTCTGACTGGACCCGCAAAAGCATAAAGCAAAAGTTCTATTACTGGGGATGTAGATAAAATAGTAAATGAAAAATAGGTTACAAGGAGTGTTTATGACGAGTGTTTACAACATCTGGCTCCGCCCCTGTTCTTCACATGAGCAGTAGTACTGAGCAGAGAACAAACAAACATTCCCCAATTTTCTGCCTCCTTGATTCCTCGCTCCTCCGGTTTGTGACCCGGAAATCGATCTCAGCGCTCAATCTTGTAGGACGTCCCAATTTCCCAAACTGCAGCTCGAGGAGGCGAGGAAAGGAATCGAGGAGGCACAAAATCGTGAAAAGGCACATAGGGATCATCATCCACACAATCATGTAAACAAAAAAACAAAATCACCTGAATTCACGTTCACCCATAATTTATCACAACGTTTTATTTGCTTTGCAAACACTTCTCGGCTGATTGCAGGTCCCAGTATTTTGGTGAAGACATCTTTCGTTGTTTTTTTTCCATAGCACACCATAAACATTGTAGCATTTAAAAAATGTGAGTACAAAAGAATTGCAACATAAAATACAAATAACACATATCAACATACCCACCCTCCCAAAAACAGATTACAAAAAAATGTTAAGACAACATAACACAACAGAAGTAACATTTACAGAGAAAGCAATGATTTAAAATCCCTTTCTGGATTTTGAAATGTAACTATGTGTACAAAGTAAGTATTACATCATGGTTAAAGAGTAATAACACTTAGAAACTCTTTGGATATGAGGATCTGCAGGGAGCCACAGAAGAAGCAGTGTTGCATACTTTGTAGGCAACTTTGTACAAAAGCTATAAAATAAACTGTCATAGCGGTCAGACATCTTCTGCATTGACCTACACTCAGTTGTTTGTCTTTACATTGCCTCAAATACTCAGTGCCCCAATAGGTCGCGATACTTGGTGTAAAGCCTCGTTCATGACGGTAAAATCACGGATGATCAAATGACTCATAAGCTTGTAAGCCCCC